GGGGGGGGGGGGGGGGGGGGGGGGGAGAGGACTATTTACCAGGAGGAGGAAGTCCTACGTGAGTCCCCGCACGCTGGCACCAGGCCAGCCCAAAAGAAAAAAAAAATTAAAAATATATCTATAATACGTGAAGCGATTGCGACGGCCGTTTAGATGTTAACATCCCGACCTTCCAGGAGTAGGACAGCTTTGCACAGGTGCCTCTGGGAACTGGACCCTCCAAGCAGATTTCACAATTGCAAAAGTCCAGGCGCTGGGTTTGAAGGGGGCTGGGGGAGGGTCGACCTCCAGGTGTCTGCTTCTCCCACCCACCCCCGTTTTTTGGATGGACTGGAGGACACAGTTCTGGCTTGGATATGTGACAAGGGTGCACTTTCGTTACATTTCAACCGTATTTCAGTTCACCCAAGGAGAGAGAGAGAATGAGAGAAAGGAGGAGGAGGAGGAAAAGGGGGAGGGAGGAGGAGGAGGAGAGAAAACAAAATACCAACTATTCAGTTCCTATATTTGGGGGAAATGGCAAAAGAGGCTCAGAGAATTTGCTTTGGGCTCCGTGCACCATTCCCGGTGCCTGCCACAAAGCCGAGGGCGCCAAAGGTGGGAAGGCTCTGATCCTTCAGGATTGGGCCACCTGAACAGCTGGGCACAAGGGGTCAAGGGGGGAAAAAGATTCCCGCACCTTAAAAACAAAGAGGCCGCGGACTCGGCCCAGGTAGTTCTGGCAAAATCAGGACTCAATTCTTTAAGTCCGATGATGGGAATATATATGGCGTGCACGTTTTCAATCCCTCTCCTCCCCCCCCCCGACGGAAAAAAAGAGGGAGGGGGAGAAAGAAAAAGAATTGGAATCCCAAAACCCAGTTCCCCCCCCCCAAAAAATGAGATTAGAACGGTGAAGCGTGTCCAGATTGTGGAAAGAAGGAAGGAAGGAAGGAAGGAAGGAAGGAAGGAAGGAAGGAAGGAAGGAAGGAAGGAAGGAAGGAAGGAAGGAAGGAAGGAAGGAAGGAAGGAAGGAAGGAAGGAAGGAAGGGGGAGGTAAAATAAAAATAAGAACCACCCAAGATCCCCAAACCAGAGAACCAAGCCCTCCCACTCCCAACGAAGAAAAGGAGAAAAGAAAAAAGGAAGGAAAAAAAAGAGACCAGGCCCCCTTTAAAAAATAATAAAATTAAAATAATCCGAAAGGGAACAAAAAAAAACCCTATCTAAGATCTACAGCAATATTTAATTGGAGGGGGGGGAGAAAAAAAATAAAAATAAACAGGTCCATTGTCTCTGATTTTTTTGTGTGTGTCTGTCAGTATAAAAGTTTCCTTGATTGAGCGAGAGAAGTTTCTGGGGAGGGGCGAGGGGGGCGAGGGGCTCATCTCCTCATGTAGGGCCCGTTGAGCGACTGCTTGGGGACCCCGGCGGGGTTCATGTAGCTGTGGTGCGAAGGGCCCGTGTACATCATGTTCCCATGGGGGTTGGGCTGCATAGGCTGCTGGGGGTAGGCCTGGCTCCCCATCATCCCCATCCCCATCTGCATAGGGTACTGGGCCGTCTGGTTCATGTAGGCGGGGTTGCCGTGGTAGCCGCTGTTCATCATGGGCTGAGGCATCCGGTAGCTGTTCATGGCGTTCAGGGTGTTCATATTCATGGAGTTGACGTTGTACGGGGCGGCCGGCATCAGGTTCACCCCCATATTCATGCCCCGCTGGACAGCCAGGGCCCGGGGACTGGCCTGCATGGCCACCGCCGGAGGGCTGCGGCCGTAGAGCTGCTGCTGGTGGGCGGCGGCCGAGGGCAGCGGAGCCGACTTCGACCGGATGGAGATGTGGCCCTTGACCGGCATCTGGCCTTGCAGCCGCTGGGTGTGAGGGATGCCCAGGTTGGCGGTGGACATGTTGCACTGGAGCAAGGGAGAGGTCAGGTTCATGGTGGTGGGGGCCAGGTTGGGCGGGGGGGTCATGGTGGCTTGTGCTTGGGCCGCTCCGGCCAGAGGGTGCGAGGGGGCCAACTGCGCCAGGCCCGTGTTCGACAAAGACACGCTGGTTGCATAGGATGTCACCGCGGAGGAATGGCTGTAAGGCATGGCGTGCGGGTCCATAATGGTGTTGGTCAGCTGCTGCAGCTTGGCCAAGCTGAAGGTGGCCGACGGCTGGGAGTAACCGCCGGCCCCGAAGTCCCCGGGGAGCCTCTCATAGATGCTGATGTTGCCGGTGCTGCCCGATTCCGGGATCTCCATGATCATCGGCGCCGGAGTGAAACTGTTGTTCATGCTACACTGCGACAGGGACGGCTGCTGCTGCTGCTGCTGCTGCTGCGGGGGCTGCTGCTGCTGCTGCTGCTGTTGTTGCTGCTGCTGCTGCTGCTGTTGCTGTGCCGGAGGGGGCGGCTGGGGCTGCTGGGGCTGGGCCTGTGGAGGCTGCGCCGCGGCTTGCTGGTTACTCGGGGGTCTCTCCACCACGCAGCTCTGGGGAGACTTGATATTGCAGTTGGAGGCTGGCTGGACACTGCCTTGGGGCATGAGGCTGCAGCTGCTGCCCATGCCAGCCATTTGCTGGGTGACCACGCAGCTGTTCTGGGTGAGGCTGCTGGAGGAGGAGAGCCCCCCGTAGGAGCAGCTGCTCTGCGAGGAGGCGTTGCCGCAGATGCTGCCCCCCATGGTGGAGTCGTAGCTGCTGGGGTTCTCGTAGTTCTCGGTGGTGCTCTCGATGCTGCCCAGGTCGCTGAAGCCGCTGTCCACCACCTGCTGGGAATGGTCCGACACTGAAGGCACGTCCATCATCGGGCTGGTCTCCATGTTCTGCATAGAAGGGGCCGACAGGGAGCCCTGCTCGGGGCTGATCTGGGTGTAGCTGCTCTCCAGGGCTCCAGGCACGCTGGGGCTGCTGACGGAGCGCACCGACTGGCTGGGGTGAGACTGGACCGAGGAGATGGGGCTGTTGTGTTCGGAGGCCTGGCAGTCCTCCACCATCGGCATCTGGGGGTCCTCCTCGGCTTGGGTGTAGCTCTGCAGGTTCTGGCAAGCGGCCAGCGTCTCCTCGCAGTCCTGATAAGCCACGTCGTGCTCGTGGTTGTCTTCCTCTTGCGTCAAGGACTGCACGGCCTGGACCGTTTCGAGGTCCAGTTCACTGTGAGGGATCGGCTCGTCTTCCTTCAGCTCCATCAGTCCTTCCTTGGGGTGCTGCTCTTCCTCTTGATCGTCTTCCGAGACGGGAACCGTGTCTGACCCGACCGACGTCTCGTGGGACACCGCATCCTCCTCGGAATTGCCCTCTCCTTCGCTCTTGTTCTTGGCATCCTCTTCTCTATCGTCCTGTGTGCTTGTTTCTAAAAAAGCCTCCTGGACTTCGGGTTCTCCCTTCAGCCCTTCCTTCTCAGCCTGCTCTTCCAGCTCATCCTTTTTGAGCGAGCCCAGGTGGCCATCGTCTTCTTCGTCGTCGGCATCATGGTCTTCGTGCTGGTTGGCGACAGCGGCCACTTCCTCTTCTTCCTCTTCCTGGTCGTGCTCGGGTTCCTCCGCTTCCTGCTGCTCTTCTTCGGACGGCGGCCTCTGGTCTTCGAGGACTTGAGGCTTCTCCACGTCTTCCTCCAGTTCAGGCTCTTTAGAGTCCATTTCTGGGCTGTTGCTGCTGTCTACGGGAGATGTTACCCTCGCTTCTCTAGCAGGCATAATATCTTCCTCCTCTCCTAAATCGCCCACTTCCGGAGGCCCGTCTTCATCTTTCCTTTCTTCAGCACTGGGCAGAAGTTCTTCCTTCTCCTCAGCCAGCTCTTCCTCATCTTGCACTTTCGTCTTACGCCCTGATTTGGAGCAAGGTTCCATGAGATCGGTGGTCTCCTCTGAAGCAGGTGCTCGGACTTTCCCCCTCCTCAGTTGAAAGCCTGGCTTGCGCCCGGGCCTTTTCTTCCAGTGGATGGGCTTACGGCTCTTGCCCTTGGGCCAGCCTTTCTTCTTTTTCATGGGGGTGGAAGTGCCAGGCTGGAGTGGAGAATCCAGCGATTCGCATTTTCTCAGCAAGGAAACTGGTTTCAAAGTAGGAGAATCTGAAGAGAATGCAAAACAGAAGGCGTCAACTTTGGAACAGCAATCCACAATTATTTATCGTTAGCATTGCCAAAAATCTAGAGACGATCAATGATGTTTGTTTAGACTGGTGATCTGTAATGATTCAATAAATTAATTTTCTCAAAATCCTGCCACCTGTGAAATGTTATCAACCACTGTTAATGAGAGCAATAATATTCATTATTGTCTTTTTCATTTTCTCAGAGACATGTTTGGTCTGAAATAGTTAGAATTTGGGGGGGAGAACTATACCCTTTACTCTCACTGTTGCAGAAGACTGCCCCACATTATTGGCTAAGGAAAGTGCAACCGTATTAAGTGAACTTTTCAACCCTAGATATACTCACAAAATCACACAAAGATTTTGTCTACTACATTCTGGGCCGGTGTAATTGGGAAAGTTGTCCAATTTGTTTCAAGGTCTGAAAATTGGAAAATTAGACTTCTCAACTCCTAGACTTAACGTGTATGATACTGAAATATTTCTAGAAAATAATAATAAAACAACAACAACAATCATGAGTGACCAACCATAATAATAACAACAATTAACATTAACAACTGCCCAAAAATGGTCTGGATACTGGACGTGGCAGTACCTGGAGACAGCAGAACCAAAGAGAAAGGCCTGGAGAAGATAACAGAATACAAAGACCTACAAAAAGAAATTGAACGATGTGGCAAAATAAAAATGAGGATAGTTATCAACGGTCATAGGCGCCTTGGGTACAATCCCAAAACAACCGGAGAACCACTTGAACACCATCAGCATTGACAAATTCTCCACCAGTCAGTTCCAAAAGGCAGCTTTACTTAGGACAGCTGAAATCCTGAGACAAGGCCTCTCTAACTCCATCAAACATCCCCATCTGCCTATCTCAGGTCTTTGGGAAGGACGCCCTGGGCGGACAAAAATCCCAAATCCAATTGTCAGCATCTGACAGACGTACCATATTAAGTTGAACTTCTATGCTACCCATCTCTTGGCAACTCTGGGTGACTCACAACAATCAAACAAAGGGGGGGGGAGGGGAAGAATTACAATCAAATCAATAAAAACATAAAAACTAAAGATAAAAGATGGGAAGAGCGATGGAGGGAGGGGTATCACCCTCCCTCATCAAAGACCTGGGGTGAAAAGAGAGTCTTTGAAACAGTCACGCCAAGATGCGAAGACTGCATCTGAACACACACTGTAGGTGCAATGAAGCAATACTTTCTCAGGCCTGGTATTAGAGCAAAATTTACGGCATGCTGCCACTGACATAGCACATTACCAGTGCACCAAGGGGACCCTCTAAAGCAGGGGTCCCCAACCTCCTGGCACCAGTCCACGGCCCACCAGGAACCGGGCTGTGCAAGTCATCGAAGCCCTATCAGCGCACAAGCAGGAACCAGGCAGCACGCCAACCCATGCCCCCTTCTCCCACCTGCGGGGGGAAAAAAATCGCCCACAAAGAAACCGGTTCCTGGTGCCCAAAAGGTTGGGAGCCCCTGATCCGAAGCAGGGTTTCCCAACCTTCGTAACTGTAAGACGCAGGTCTATGGAGATTCTCAGTCATCCTCTTCCTGGTTGTCCCAAAGATGCTTTTTTTTTCTCCCAAGAAACAACTGGACTTTCTGCTTTTTTTCTTTTGAAGATGTTTTGCTTCTCATCCAAGAAGCTTCTCCAGCTCTGACTGGATGGTGTGGAAGTCAAAGCTGAAGAAGCTTCTTGGATGAGAAGCGAAACGTCTTCAAAGAAAAAACCAGAAAGTCCAGCCGCCTCTTGGAAAAGCACTTTTGGAAGACGCGTGGATTTCAACTCTCAAGAATTCCCCAGCCAGCATCTTAGTGTCTTAAAGTTGTCACGGTTAGATCTAAAGAGTCATCTTTATAATTGACTAGTGTGCTGTGATTCAGGCACTGCTGAAAGTAAGAGGGTAGGTGGGGAACAGCCAGGGAAAACAATTCAGCATTTTATTTGGGGACCCATCACACGAGAAGGTAGATTTTGAAATCCACCAGATTACAAGGTGGGAAGTCTCATGTGCTAATGCTCCATCTATTCAATCCACATAAAACCACCTTGATCGCAGGTGCTCCAACCTTCTTTCAATCTACTAGTCAACCACTGAGAGACCTGTCAATGGAAAACAACTTTTTATTAGGCATCTGTGTGTGATTGGATATCATTATATCTAATTTGGCACAAGCATTTTGCATGCGGGAGACTAGCTGTTTAAAAAAAAAAAAACATATTCCAGAAAGCCCTCAGGGTGGGTGGGTGGGTGAGTGACTGCTATTTTAAGATGTCAATTAAAAGATTTGGGTGATACTTGTGGAAGGGCTAAGAAGCCATTTACACAACTTCCCCACGCTGTTTCTCCTGGCGAGGGAGTTCAGCCTGGTATGTCTGAACAAACGCAATTTGAAAGCAACATTCTACTGGGCTAAAAATACGTCACGCTACTTTCTAATTTTAGTTTAGTCATGGATGAGATGAGGGCTGCAGAGAGAGGAGGGAGGACATATGGATGGATGCAAAATATATGCTTACGCCACTCCTTCTCCAAGTGGCCTCACTTTCTATCCCACACCAGAATCCTCAGCTTCATCCTTGGAAGGCCGTTCTCTAGGCATCAGCCTTAGGCAGAGTTTCAATCCTGGACCAGATTTTCAAGGGATCTCAATGAAAACCACAGGCAATCTAAAGCTAAGACGGCTAGAGGGTAGTTGCATGCCTGGCCTGTTCCTGCCAGTTCTGGGCCCCCTAAGCAGCAGCTGTGGGCTGAAAATACCAGGCAAGTGGGCTGGGTAACCTTATCAGATGGAACCAAGGTCAGAAGAGCTCGTGCTTGGACTGCAGAAGCGCAGCTGCTTCGGGGAGTTTACTTCTCCCTCAAAGTTTATTTACAGGGATTTCAGCAAATTTATCTCCAGCTAGCTGAGCTATTTCTCACAATTTTCCCCATCTCCCTTGAAAAGAGAGGGAGTCCTTGATGCTGAAGGCATGGACCTCTGACTGCCCCACAGTCCCTCCTCCCCTGTACGGTTGAGTTTTGTATCTTGCCTATTCCCCACTTCCTCCTTCCTTTTTCCCTGAATTAAAGGTAAAGGTTCCCCTCCTTGCAGATCCGTGCTAGTAGTTTCCGGCTCTGGGGGGCGCTGCTCATCTCCGTTACAAAGCTGAAGAAGAGCCAGCGCTGTCCGAAGACGTCTCCGTGGTCATGTGGCCAGCAGGACTAAACACCGAATGCGCACAGAACGCTGTTCCCTTCCCACCAAAGTGGTCCCTATTTTTCGACTTGCGTTTTTTACATGCTTTCGAACTGCTCGGTTGGCAGAAGCTGGGACAAGCAATGGGAGCTCACTCCATTACGTGGCGCTAGGGATTCGAACCGCCAAACTGCCGACCTTTCTGATCGACAAGCTCAGCCTCTTAGCCACTGAACCACCGCGTCCCTGAATTACTATCCACCATATAGTCACGCCAGCCAGATCACAAGCGAATGACCACAGAAGCGTCTTCGGAAAATGTTGGGTCCCTTGGCGAGGAAGCAGAGATGAGTTCTGCTCTCTATGGCAAACGTTTGTTTGGTTCTTTTGGGTTCCAAAACAGAGGAAGTTACTCCGGCAGAACAGGGCGGGCAGCTAGATGGGTGTCATCCAGAGAGCGGGGAAAGACCAGGTAAGCTAATTTAATTGTGTTAACACAATCTTGCAAATTTGAAAGTCCAAATCACCAGCCCATCTCCTTTACTGGCCAAGACACTAGGGAGGGCGTGTGTCTTCTGAGTCTTCTTCTCCTGCCAACATTCCCGCTGCGGACTCATCTGCCTTTTATCTGACCGTCACACAGTTTCCTCTCTTTGCCCTGTCTCCCAAGATCCTTCTCACATACCAAGATATTGAGTGTGCCTGCCTAAGCCACGTACCAACTGACTGGACATTTACAGAATGCCAAGTTTGGACATTCTGGATGAATAAATACTAAGGGAGGGAAGACATCAACCGTCCTGGATTCAGATTAAAAACAGAATCAAAGGATCAGAAAACCTACCAGCCGTATCATCCGATTCCTCCTCTTCTTGACTTCCTCTCTTTAAGGGGGGCCTATGCCTAAGGGAATCCTGTGGAGAGAGACGGCGGAGATATCCCCGAGAGAACAATTCGCTTTCTTCCTCCTCCTCCTCCTCCTCTTCCTCCTCCTCCTCCTCTTCCTCCTCCTCCTCCTCTTCCTCCTCCTCCTCCTCCTCCTCATCTTCCATTTCAAAGGTGGGCTCCAGCTGAGGCATGGGCCGCTCGGAATCCGAGTCCTCAAATGGCTCGTCTAGGACTTCTGTTGTTTCCGAGATCGTTTCGGTAACCACGCTGCTGTTGTGGTGTTTCCGCTTACGGACTCGTCTCTTCCGGGGAATGGGCTTCTGCGCAAGACAGTCCAAAGAAAGAAAAGGAAACAACAACAACAACATGGTGAAAAAAAAAACACTGCAAAGTTATCTCCACCATCTGATAGCTCATAAGCATCTGTTTATCGATGTTTATCATAAGCATCGGTGAGAAAAATTAGTCAATGGATCTGCTTCCCCTCCCATAGTTGCCAGTCTTCCATCACCGAAAGTCTTCAAGAAAAATATTGGATATTCATTTATCTGGGGGGGTATACGTTTTCCTGCCTTGGGTAGGGTTGGGCTAGAAGACCTCCAAGGTCCCTTCCAGCTCCGTGGCTCTGTATTTCTATATTTTTTGATCCACTCAATGGAAGGCAGCTCCTCACAATTAAAAACAGTCATAAAAGGTATCTTCATTTAGGGATTAGGGCAGAGATCTCCAAACCTGGCAACTTTAAGACTTGTGGACTTCAACTTCCAGAATTGGGAGAATTCTGGGAGTTGAAGTCCACAAGTCTTAAATTTGCCAAGTTTGAGGAGCCCTGGTTTAGGGTGTTGCATGAACTCAGCCCATAGGATCTGAAGAGTATATTAATGTCTTAGATTTCCCCAGTTTCAATGAAACCTAACAATTATTAATTCCATTTTTAGATAGTCTGTCATACAAACCACTTGTCTGACGTCTGGCAAATAAATAAGGAAACTTGGCTACCAACGCTTCATTAT